TTCATCCTGGAACTAGCAGAGAGGCCCTGAGAAGCCTTGGGTGGCTCAGATGAACAAAGTCCGCCCATAACTGACTTATTATTAATGGAGTGACTTCAAGTTCATCTTCCAGGACATTGCGGGCTGCAGTGGGGTGTTGTGCTTAGCGCTTCTACCTTGTAGCACCATCTGCAAAGAGTTTGCATGTTCTCCCTGTGCTTGCATGGGTTTCCTCTGAGTTCTCTGGTTTCCGCTGACACTCCCAAAGACATTCTGGAAGGTTAAGCAGCTCCGGTCTAAAATTGTATGCATGCATGCATGTGAGATAGGGACCGTAGATTGGAGGACAGGAACTGCACTATGTAAAAAAATGGTCGGTGCTATAGAAATACCTGTAATAAATAATTGTGTGAATAACATACACACCATGTGCTACATGTCAGCACTGCTGTGCCAGAACACACACACAGTATGAAGTACATTTTCAGTGGGCTGTAGGGAGCACGAATGTGGAAGCATTGATCTTCGGGATCCATCTATACCGATACCTAGTATGCTCCCGATACTGGAACTTCCGGTATCAGGAAGCCAGGAGGCGAGTCATTACACGCCTCCCCGATTGGCCGTCACAAGGGAGCATGGAGCTGACTTCACGGCCAACCAGGAAGCTGCAGGGCGGGTAATGACTCGCCCCCAGGCTTCCTGATTGGATGGGAAGCCAGCTCCATGACCCCTCATCACTGGTGACGAGGAAGCATGGAGCTGGCTTACCAGTCAGTCAATCGGGAAGCTGGCCAATCAGGAAGGCGGGTGGCGAGTCCTTACCCACCCGCTGGCTTCCCGATTGGCCAGAAAGCTGGCTCCATAAATCCTCATCACCTGGTGACAAGGGAGCATGAAGCCGGCTTCCCAGCTAATCAGGAAGCCGGGGGCAAGTCATCATACGCTGCACAGTAGAGCTGCAACAACTAATCAATGAAAACGATTATAATCGATGATGAGAATTGTAGGCTACGATCCTCTTAATCGATTAGTTGCAGCAGCCGCTCTGCTCCTCAGCTCTCCTCCCCACTGGTGCTGGCTGCAGCGGTCTGTGTCCTTTTCAATCACAAACTACTGCAGCCAGAACCAGCGGGGAGGAGAGACCGCTGCGACTATTTCATTCAATGGATACCAAATGCACCTCCCGTTCGCAGTGTGATCGCCCGCACTGGAATGCGCAGTACTGCAATGCCCTGCGTTCCAGTGCAATTGCAAACTGTTTTATTCTGAAGTAAACTTTATGTCTGTAAAGCTGCATTTGTGTTTTATTTTTAAAAAAATGACAGTATTATTTTTTTAATCCGATTAATCAAAGTTAATAATCGGCTAACTGATCGATTAGGAAAATAATCGTTAGCGGCAGCCCTGCCGCACAGCTTCCCTAATTGGACTTCCGGTATCGGTATTCAGTATCGGTGAGGAAAATAAAAATCGGTACTCGTACTCTATACCGAAAAGCCGGTGTCGGTGCATCCCTAATTGATCTGTAAAAGGTAATCAGAGTGATCTCTGGCAGTCTCATATAATAAGTCTACAGTCTATGTCTGCCTCCTGAATCATGGTCCCACTCTCCATAAAACACTATAGTATGGTTGCAATCTCGGACCGTTGCTTGTAGCATGCTCACAGCCTTCGACCAATAATGTAGATTGTCTGCAGTCTCTGACAGCTTTCTGCAGCATTCCACTCACTGCGCATTATGTGATGCCTAGGTGAGGTCAATGGTCAAAACGTGAATCCCTCTATATTACGCAAAGTGAACAGCACGGGGGCAGACAAAACTGTACGCACAATCTGAGAAAGGTTTGCAATTGGCCGGAATGGACTTTGTATAAGACATACCTCGTGACCTTCTAAGATGGGAAAGAAGAGTGCTTGGGAACATACACAGCGATATACAGACAGATAAAAGTAGATCATGTAAAAATTAACTCCAGGATTTTGAAACGTTAACCCCACACTGCAAGGGTTAACTGCGTGTTAAAGACATACCCTTCTGTTCCTCACTCCTGCAGCAGTCAGCGCTCACCTCTCTCCCCCTCCACTGTTGTGGTATGTCCATGGTGTCTTCACATCTAATACACTGAAATCAGACATGATGACGTCCTCAGACCACCAAAGCGCGGGGTGAGAAGAGGCTGCAGGGACTGGTCTAGCAGTCCGGTGGAACAGAGGATGAGGGGAGTAAATCTGCTTTATATGTCACTCCCTAGATTAAACGAGCACTTAACCATTGCAGTGCAGGGGTAGCCCTAGTGCCAGGAGTAACGCTTCAAAATCCTGGAGGTCTGCTTTAAGTACAGATGAAGGCATGAATGGGCAGGCGAAGGCATAAATGGGGCATAAATGGGCAGACGAAGGTACAGCGGCAGCATAAATGGGCAGACGTAGGCACAGCGGCGGCATAAATGGGCAGACGTAGGCACAGTGGCAGCATAAATGGGCAAAAGTATAAATGGGCAGACGAAGGCATGACAACGGCATAAATGGGCAGACGAAGGCATGACAACGGCATAAATGGGCAGAAGAAAGCATAAATGAGCAGACGGTATAAATGGGCAGACGAAGGAATGAATGGGCAGACGACGGCACGAATGGGCAGGTGACGAAGGCACAACATTGGCACGAATGGGACATTGTGGAACACATTGTTAACCTTTAAAGGTGACCATGCAAGGTCGGCACCGGGCCCCCTCCCCCATTAAACATCACTTGTTACCTCACCCCGGTCTTTCCTATGGGTGGGAGTTGTGTCACCATCCTTCTGGGATGATTCTCGGAGAATGCAGAGCAGGTGAACTCTCCTGAGATGACCCTCCAGTCCCCTGCCAGAGCATTGTCTCTGTGTTCCCCGGGATCTCATGGAAAGACATGTGATGTCATCTTCACCAGGCAGAGGACAGGGGCCAGGGAAGTATATATTTTTTTTATTCACAGGTACATTTTGGATTTTCAAAAAGGGGAGAGGGGCCCCTGACAGTGTAAGCGTACCTTGAATTGTACTCATTGCCTTGACAACCAATAATGATAAAATAGGAGCTGACAATGATGGAGCATCCCTTTAGGGAATTACTTTGATATGAGCCATATTGAGCCCCCTCTGTGCAATGCTACCATTAAGTCTGAGGAGTCACCCAGCAGCCCTGTGCCCTTACTAGTCGGTAGGTGACCCCCCCGCCCCGGACCTCCAGCTGCTATGGGACTCCTCACATGGCTGCCCAGGGTCATTCCCTAACACAGCCCCATGGCATGCCGAGACTTTTAGTTCCTCCTTTCCATGGCATGCACAGATTGGTCCCAGCAGCTCCACCCTCCCCGGACCATTAAAGAAGCCCCAGGAAACTCACATAGCAACCGTGCAATCAGCCGTCCCTGCAACATGGTGTGGGTCCTTCACCAATGACAGCCCGTGCCAGGCCTGCAGCAGAGGAATGAACCTTGGGGTCCTGATAAACTGGACTGTAGGGCTGTCCTCACCACTGCCTGACTGCGGAGAAGCTATTTAGAGCCGTGTCACGTCACACTCTGGCCACATTCTGGGCATATACGGCGTGATGTGATAATATTATATTTGAGGGTACAGGTTGTCGGTTATTATACGTCGGCTTTGCTACAATTTACAGACAAATAATATCGGGCCACCTAAACAACGTCAACGGCTATGACATTTCCAAGTTATGTTTGCTGGGGCTCAGGGCCTCGATAAAAAGTGTCCCTGTGACTTATGTACAGGAGTGAGGGCGGCGGCCATGTTTCCGGAGTCTAAAATACCATGATGTATAGGAACAGGACTGCCGCAAAATGGATGCTTTTCTGGAGACAAAAGTTAGAGTTCATGAACTTCACTTTAGATATGCCTTTAGGAAAGGTTACAAAAGTGTGCCCCTTCCAGGATGGTGAAATAGTAAACAATGCTAAAGAAGCGTCTTGAGCTGACCTTACACTATATTATCTTATTGTACAATTTCCTTTAGATCAGTGGTTCTCAACCTGTGTAACCTCAGGACCCACATTTGTCCTTGGTCATTAACTCGTGACCCAAGTCGCATTGCAATGGAACACACAGCATTAGGGTACCGCACATTCCGGTGCGGGCGTACAAACTGTGGGTGGGAGGTGGGTTTGGGGTACAATTCAAATGAATGGCAACGCAACACATCTCCCACAACAGAATGCACGGTAGGTGCGATTGCATGATACAGTGGGGTAATCGCACGGTACTATGTGATTAGCGCAAGGTACTAGTATGAATGGGCCCTAAAAGCACTGGCTTGAACACATTGTTAACCTTTAAAGGTGACCATGCAAGGTCGGCACCGGGCCCCCTCCCCCATTAAACATCACTTGTTACCTCACCCCGGTCTTTCCTATGGGTGGGAGTTGTGTCACCATCCTTCTGGGATGATTCTCGGAGAATGCAGAGCAGGTGAACTCTCCTGAGATGACCCTCCAGTCCCCTGCCAGAGCATTGTCTCTGTGTTCCCCGGGATCTCATGGAAAGACATGTGATGTCATCTTCACCAGGCAGAGGACAGGGGCCAGGGAAGTATATATTTTTTTTATTCACAGGTACATTTTGGATTTTCAAAAAGGGGAGAGGGGCCCCTGACAGTGTAAGCGTACCTTGAATTGTACTCATTGCCTTGACAACCAATAATGATAAAATAGGAGCTGACAATGATGGAGCATCCCTTTAGGGAATTACTTTGATATGAGCCATATTGAGCCCCCTCTGTGCAATGCTACCATTAAGTCTGAGGAGTCACCCAGCAGCCCTGTGCCCTTACTAGTCGGTAGGTGACCCCCCCGCCCCGGACCTCCAGCTGCTATGGGACTCCTCACATGGCTGCCCAGGGTCATTCCCTAACACAGCCCCATGGCATGCCGAGACTTTTAGTTCCTCCTTTCCATGGCATGCACAGATTGGTCCCAGCAGCTCCACCCTCCCCGGACCATTAAAGAAGCCCCAGGAAACTCACATAGCAACCGTGCAATCAGCCGTCCCTGCAACATGGTGTGGGTCCTTCACCAATGACAGCCCGTGCCAGGCCTGCAGCAGAGGAATGAACCTTGGGGTCCTGATAAACTGGACTGTAGGGCTGTCCTCACCACTGCCTGACTGCGGAGAAGCTATTTAGAGCCGTGTCACGTCACACTCTGGCCACATTCTGGGCATATACGGCGTGATGTGATAATATTATATTTGAGGGTACAGGTTGTCGGTTATTATACGTCGGCTTTGCTACAATTTACAGACAAATAATATCGGGCCACCTAAACAACGTCAACGGCTATGACATTTCCAAGTTATGTTTGCTGGGGCTCAGGGCCTCGATAAAAAGTGTCCCTGTGACTTATGTACAGGAGTGAGGGCGGCGGCCATGTTTCCGGAGTCTAAAATACCATGATGTATAGGAACAGGACTGCCGCAAAATGGATGCTTTTCTGGAGACAAAAGTTAGAGTTCATGAACTTCACTTTAGATATGCCTTTAGGAAAGGTTACAAAAGTGTGCCCCTTCCAGGATGGTGAAATAGTAAACAATGCTAAAGAAGCGTCTTGAGCTGACCTTACACTATATTATCTTATTGTACAATTTCCTTTAGATCAGTGGTTCTCAACCTGTGTAACCTCAGGACCCACATTTGTCCTTGGTCATTAACTCGTGACCCAAGTCGCATTGCAATGGAACACACAGCATTAGGGTACCGCACATTCCGGTGCGGGCGTACAAACTGTGGGTGGGAGGTGGGTTTGGGGTACAATTCAAATGAATGGCAACGCAACACATCTCCCACAACAGAATTTAAAAGCGTCGGCCGACCCACACAACCACAGACACAATCTCACACACTCAGACATTCTCACACATACTCCAAAACATTATATATATATTTATTCTTATTTTTTTTAAGGTCCACCCAGTTTACCTATATTACGAAAACTGGAGTGGATCTTCCGCCTGGGATCCAGTGTGGGCTGCTTTGGTGTCACTGAGCTCCATCCATATGTGTATTGCTTGTACAACTCCCGTGCGCGCCCTGTGGAGGTGCTGAGAGTGAGAATGTGATGTACACAGAAGAATGCAGATGATATGACAGAGGGCGGTATGTACAGGAGAGGAGTGCAGAGGGTATGCCAGAGGGCGGTGTGTACAGGAGAGGAGTGCAGAGGATATGACAGATATGTACAGGGCCGGCCTTAGGCCTTTAGGCACCCTGTGCGAGAAAGCTTTACAGCGCCCCTCAGTGACCACACCCCTCAATGGCCACACCCTTTAGTGACCACACCCCCAGTAACCACACCCATTTATCACCCATATTTTTGGTAAAATATAAAAAGACGGGGTAAATAGACACCAAACATGTCATGCTTTAAAATTGCGCGCACCCGCAAAATTGCAAAAAATTACCATGCCCAAATTTGACCATAGGTGACGCTTTAAAAGCTTTTACCGCTCATCAGTTTAGTGTTATCAGTGATTGATAGCCCTACAATTATTGCTCTCATTCCGACGTTCGCGACGATATGTAACATGTGCGGCGTAATGGGTGAAATCGTCAATTTCACACGTATGCGCACCCAACGCGTGTTTGCGTGCGTGTATGTATGGGGGGGACTTTAAAAAAAA